GGACTAGAATCAGCCCCCCAGAAAAGAAGAGCATGACATCAGGTCCATCAGAATGATGGACTCTGATGCCTAGGCAGCAGAGTTGGTTAAAACACCTGTCTCCAAGATGGTCAGTCATCGGCACAGCAAAGGGTCGCAACTCTCGCTCTGAGCCCCAGGCTCCTGGGTCAGCGCAGCGTTTCGCACTGCTCCCTCCAGCCCCGTCCCCGAGCACACGGCTTCCCCGGCAGCGGGCACTGTCAGCCGAGGCGGAGGCCAACAGGCCTGGGGAAGGGCTGAGGGCACCGTGCCTGAGCGGACTGCAGGCCCAGGCTTGGCTGCTACTGGCAATCAAATCGAAGGTCAGGGAGCACCATGATTGGAAAGCAGGTGTGCTTGTGATGTGGAGAGACGTGCAAGAGAGCCCGGAGAAAATAATTTTTTCTCCAAACAGTCTACCTCCATGACCCCCAGGAGTCACGCTTTCAGCACCAGCAAAACCTGGTGAGATGGGAGGAAAGCAGGGGAGAAGCTTCATTCAAATCACCATTCTTCTACTTTGGGCCTCAAGCAGTTTACAAGTTGCACACTCTTCCACGGGGTGAGGGGGACGCGGGCTTGTGTGACACTGGGCGGCTTGCTTCTCTCGGGCAGAAGAGGGCCTACCTTACTAAATCCATCACAGGGCTTTATCTTGAGACGGCCTTCATGGCCCACTGCCTCCTGGTGCTGGGCACTGAGCTGACCCGCGTTCCCGGTCGCGTTTGTGCGGCACTGCGTGCTTGCTTGGGCGACTGGACGCTGGGGACAGAGTAGTAACGCAGCTGGAAATGCCCTCAGTCATGTACCGGCGTCACATGTACCCACACCTCCCTTTGCGCTTTCCCCGACCAGGGGGCAGGCAGCCTCTCGTGGGCTGTGGCCAGGATGGGTGCCCCTGTTGGGCCCTCCCAGCCTCAAAGACCTCTGACTTTTTGGGTGGATGGCCATCCTTCATTTGCATCCTTCATTTGCCTGTGGAGTAGGTACCAACATACCTCCTAGAAGCATTTTCTACCCTTTTCCTCTGTTCTTCCATCTTTCCCTCCCTCCTTGTTGGCCTGGATCACAAACATTTGGTACCAGAAGAGTAATTTGGGTCGAAAGATCAAAAAGGTGCCAGAACCTGTTGTATCTAACCTGGTTCTGAAAGGAAAAGCTAGAAAGTCCCTTAGGTTTTGGTGCTATTAGCGTGTTTTATTAATGACAGTAAAGAGCCGCTTCCTTGAGGGTAAATGGGCCACATAGAGCACTAGTAGCAGGAAGGGATGACCCCCCCACCCACACATACCCCCAGCTTCCCCGGGGACTGGGCCCAATCGGGCTGGGTCCCCAGGAGTGCTGGGCACAGGCCAGAAAGGCACCATTGCACTTGTCAGCTGGTGGTTGTGTCCGGGGCTGTAACCCACTTAAGGTGCCTGAAAACTCTCTGGAGCTCGCTTTAAATAGGCCAGCTACCTGGGCCACCTCGGAGGAGGCGGCCTTCCCCACAAACCCTTGCTCCTCCCGGAGCATTTGGTCTCGGCCCCTGTTGCAGCTGTCCCGGGGTCTGAGGCTTTGTAGTGATACAGTTGGGTCAGAAATGGGAAGCAAGAACCCCTCAATGCTCAGCTGTTCTTTGTTTTATTGTTTACAGAGCACTTCTCACAGGATCACCGCATTGTCAGAGGGCTGCTATAATTTTTATTCCTGTTTCACAGAGAAGAAAACTAAGGCACGGAAATTAAGTATCTTGTCCAAAGTGAAACAAATAGTAAATATCAGAGCCCATCTCATCCTCGGCACCTTTCCTGTCTTTCAGGGAGGGGAGTGGTCCGTGTCCAATAGAAGTTTTGTTCCTGGCCAGCTCTTGGCTGGATCCTGTTAGCAGCTACACATGGCTGTGAATGGGGAAATGAAGTCGCCAGGCCCACCTTGACGGCCTTTGTCTGGGTTGCCCTCCAGAATTCAGTTGCATTCTGCACATACGCACCTCTTGGCTGCCTGAATCCTCCTCCCCTTAACCCGAGCTCTGCCTGCACCTGCCTGGGTAGTACCCAGCCTGGCTTCACTCTTGAGAGTCTCACCAGGTTGTGCTGGTGCTGAAAACGTGACTCCTGGGGGTCATGGAGGTAGACGAGGCCCGCTTTAGGGCAAGAAGGTGCATTAAAATGCAGCTGGACCTAGCACTGCTTCCAGGAGCCTGCAAGGCCATCTTTCATGCTTCGTGAGCATCCTAATTTAAGTATCACTTCCTCTTTAGAGGAAAATCGAGAAGAAAGACCACAACTACTCAAAGCCACGTACTTCCTCTTCCTTCCCTCCAGGCACTCTCCGACAGAGAGCATTGGGTAATGGCTCTCTTGAAACACGTCCTAAATTCCTCTCTAGCCAAGATGCACCCTTTTTTTCCTGCTGAACTTCCAAGGGTCATTTCGGGCTATCAAAATACTGCTGCCCATCTCAGCCTTCACCCAGGGCTGGTGAAAACTAAGGTGGGGGAGAATGATGGTCGTAGTGTGGCAGAGCCCTTTGGTCAATTTTGGTTAGCAGTCCCCTCTGGAGAATCACAGGCCCCTTGGCGATAGGTGGAAGGCGAGTGTGTTCCGTCACATGTCTGCTTCCCCACCGTAGTCCACCTTGTCTTCTCTCTTTATCAGAAGGGGGTCCACGGTGTCTGTGGCTTTCCTGTCTGCCAGGGAATCTGAAATTCACATTTAGCCGGGGGGCATCCTGTGTTTCACCCGCTAAATCTGATGGCCTGGCCCCGATGGGCTTGTGTCAAACCTAGGAGCAGGCCCACCTGTTCGTTTCCAGCCATTCTGGCCTCTGGTCGGCAGTGTAGACGCAGCAGCTTAGCTCCTGATCCCTGAGCTAGTCGCCGATAATACCCATCAAGAGACCTGACTGCGCTCCCCTCTTGGATATGTTGTCCTTGGGCCTCCCCAGATGAGGGTGACAGCATTAGCTGTTATTTTCTTGAGCGCCTGCTCTGCTAGGCACTTTTGGACAGTTTCGTTCAGTCCACCCTGCCGCCCTCCAGAGTAGGGATGATGATCCATTTTTCTTTCTTCTCTTGGCAGATGAGGAAACAGAATTGGCAAAGTTATGTGGTGTATCCAGAATCACACAGCTAGGTGGTGGCAGTCAGGGTTTGAACTCCGAGCCACCTCCACCTCTGCAGGAAGGCATGGGGCTAGGGGCCACAGCGTGAGGCCGGCAAGCAGGCCCCGGACTCAGTGAAGGCATACGGGCTCCTGAGCCTGCTAACATAATGACCTTGTAATGACAGATGCACATTTTACACAGTGCAACGCAAGAAAAATTAGTGCAGAGATTCAATTATGTCTATTTTCAGTGACCGTTTTGCTCTCTCAGTAGATGAATTAGCAGCAGAGATCCCCTCCCCCGGGTGAGATGCGGCCTGCTTTAGGGCAAGAAGGTGCATTAAAATGCAGCCCTGTCTCATTAAGCTGCTAGCCACTCCTTCCCCTCCCGCTTCTGCCCTGCGCCTCCTTCCCATTCCGCCTGGGAGGGCCTGGGGAAGCCGCATCTGCTGAACCTGGCCCCCCATTAGGCCGCCGAGCAGCACCGACCTTTTAAGGGGCCCCGTAGGTGTACTGTGGGTGGCTGTTCTTGCTCTCATGCCCTTAGAGAAACTTCAGGGAGGCCTCTTCTGGCCCCAAGTGGGCAGAGGACACCGGAGAGGAGCGGGGGAAAGAAGGAGGGCGCCCAAGGCAGTGAAATCCCTTTAAAGTGAGCCACTCTGTGTGCCCACTTGAGCTTCACGGCACCCCGAGAAAGTAGTTTCTACAAAGACTGTTTCGGGCGCCCAGGTGGCTCAGTCGGTTAAGTGTCTGCCTCCTGCTCAGGTCATGATCCTGGAGTCCTGGGATTGAGCCCAGCATCGGGCTCCCTGCTCAGCAGGGAATCTGCTTCTCCCCCTGCTCATGCTCTCACGTGCTCTCGTGCTCTCTCTCAAATAAGGAAATAAAATCTTTTTTTTTTTTAAGATTTTATTTATTTATTTGAGAGAGAGAGAATGAGAGATAGAGAGCACAAGAGGGAAGAGGGTCAGAAGGAGAAGCAGACTCCCTGCCGAGCAGGGAGCCCAATGTGGGACTCGATCCCGGGACTCCAGGATCATGACCTGAGCCGAAGGCAGTTGCTTAACCAACTGAGCCACCCAGGCGCCCGGGAAATAAAATCTTAAAAAAAAAAAAGACCCTGTTTCTTCCATTTTCAGATGCACCTTTTCTCAGTTTCATATACCATAGATATGCAGGATGCATACCTTTCTCTCCCTCACCGTCTCCGCCCACCACTGAGACCAGGAAATACGGCATCACTATTTTGCTCTTGAGAAAAATGAGGCTCAGGGCGCCTGGGTGGCTCAGTCGTTAAGCGTCTGCCTTCGACTCAGGTCATGATCCCAGGGTCCTGGGATCACGCCCCACATCGGGCTCCCTGCTCAGCGGGAAGCCTGCTTCTCCCTCTCCCACTCCCCCTGCTTGTGTTCCCTCTCTCCTGTCTCTTTCTGTCTGTCAAATAAATAAATAAAATCTTAAAAAAAAAAAAAAAAAGGCTCTGAGATGTTGAGTGCTTGACCAATGTGGCCCGGCTGATGTGTAACAGATCCCCCCACTGAACCCGTGCTTGACTTTCTGTCCCTAAAACCTTGTTACAAAACAAGGCATTTTCCTGCCACCAAACCCGGATAGGTGGTTGCTTTCTCTTTTCCATTTTACTTGCAGTGACCTCTGAGCCAGAAGCATCTTGTTTAGACCAAGCGTGAGTGGTTTGGATGTTACTGGGCGAGTCGTGGGTGATAACTCTGGGTACCAGCTGTGGTAATCTGTGTGTATTTGCTGTAACCCAGGGATCCCACTGGGTCAAGTGGACACCTGGGGGGGTGGTGTTCACACCCGGGGGGCGGGACAGTGCAGGGGAGACGTTTTTCTCCTACAGGAGTCTGCTGACAAACATTTTATATTATCTTCTAGGTACATTGAACGGAAGGCTTTTCTAGACCGAGTGGACCACAGGCAGTTTGAACTCGAGCGAGATCTCAGGCTGAGCAAAATGAAACCCTGATGTCATGGCGGGAAATCAGTAGCAGCTTAATCCTGTTGACAATGTGAGCTTCTGGTGCATCTGTGAAATATTTCTGGTGTTTCTCATCAGCTGTTTCCCAGCAAGGTCTTTTTTCCACGTTGAATTTCTGTCTTTGTTTCTTGACCTTACATGGTTTCATCCATTTTACTTTTAAAAGTTTGTCCTTGAAAAAAATAAAAATAAAAGTTGGTCCTACAAGAGGCTGGTGAAGATGACACCACTGGCCTTCCCTTTATTCTGCTGCGAAGGCCACCGGCCAGGCCCGCACATCCTGGCCTGCCCGAGCTGGCCCCAAGGAAGAGCACAACCAGCCCGGGGCTGAATTTCTGGGGCCTGTTCTGGAGTCGGCCTTGTACCCGAGACCGGGGGACGGAGGCTCCCGAGGGTGGGTGGAATGCCAAGTCCCTGCAGTTTGGTTCTTGTTCTGCTGCTGCTTCTCTCCTGCTCTCTTCTCCCTGCTGAACGGGATTCCTACTTAACTGGTACAAGGTCAGGCTGAAAGTAAGCATGTATTATTGCTGAATTAGGGATTTTTTTTCCCTTCAGCCTTTCTCCTCTTCCCAGAGTTCAAGTCAGTTTAAGATGTGCTCCCACCTCAGTAATTCTTTCTGTCAAAGAAAACTCTGAAAGACTCTTTTTTTATACTCCTTAGGAAAATTTAAATTCCAAACTTCATAGTAATAAAGCAGTAAATCCCACAGTTTGCTTTTGGGGTGTGTGTGTCTGGGTGTCCTGAGTAACATGGACAGGTTTAGGGTCAGGTAGCATTCCGAAGACTGGGAGCCAGTCCCTGCCTGGACATGTACCAGCTGTGTGACCTTGACCACAGCTGGGCTTTCGGAGCCTCTGTTTTCTGGTCTGTAAATGGTACGAGGAACACCACTACTTTGTAGGGTTGAGATGAGCTAATGACACACCTGGGGTCCCCCATCCAGTCCTCGAATACATAGTCGGAAGCTCATGGCAACCAAGGCCTGATCCTCAACACTACATGGTTATGGGATCATGGACCTTATTACTCAGAAAGGTAGTTTACTGGCTACATTAGAACACATTGTCTGTTCACATCCACTCTGATAAAGGATTGTAAAAGTGGTAGGAGAGCCCTTCGGGCCAGCATCAGAACAGGTCGCTGTGAGGCCTCGGTTATGATCCTACACAGGGATACAGGAGTAACAGGAAAGTCCTTTAAGGTAAGACAAGGCAGCGCTGTGGTTAGGACGAGGACATCCAGACCCGTAGAAGCCACAGCTGAGACAGCGTGGCACCCTCTGGGCATCATCCTCTGTTCACTGCAGCTTGCCTTCCGGGTCCTGAGGGCCTCCAGCCCGCACTCCCTCCCACGGTTCTTCATCTCAGCCATGATGAAGCCGTGATGTCTCAGCGTGAGCCGGCGCCTCGTCTGGATTGAGAAACGATCCAGAATCCTACTGAATAAATGGTACTGAGCCCATCCCAAGTTGGGGTTTCTCTTCTGTAGCAAATCTTCACGCCTTCAAAGGCTTTGGAGATGGGGACAGTAGCCGCAAGAGCACACTGGGTTCTTGGCACAGGCGGGTGTGCTATTCTTGCTTTGCTCCAAGGTGTGGAGAGAGAAGTCAGACGAGTCAGGGAGCGCCGTAGCGCATTTACCCTTCAGTTTCTGCTCACGACCCAGCCCTCACAACAGGCTTCTGTGCTGGGCCCTGCATTAGATTAAATTTACAGCTGCACAAAGCTGGGATCCTTTCTGCGGTCTCAGCTTAGTGGGCCTTTTCCAGGCGGGTTTGCTGCACACATCTGATCTCCACTCAGTGACTTTTTACATATACACGCATCTTTTGGAAAGCCCCCCCCCCAACCCCACCCCGGGAAGCAACCTGGTGGCCAGCCTGGCAAAGCCTGCACCGGGCCCTGGTCCTGCATGGCCACCACTGGCCACCAGGCTTCGGGAGGCACCAGGCTCATCAGGGCCCCACTGTCCCCTCCCCATAGACTAGGCAGGCTGCTGCAAGCAGAAGTAGTGGGGTTCTTGTATAGCCAAACACCAAAAAAGAAGTTGAGAAAACCCCACTCTTTACTATCCAAGCCACACGCAAGCCTTCCTGACGTCCTGGAACCGTGTGCCTTGCACCCAGTGGAAAATAAACTCTAAGCAGCCAGTAAAACAGAAAGCCCCTCAAGCCTAGCCCCTTGGGGCAGAATCTGGCAGTTGGTCAAGGAATGCGCAGCTACTTAGACCATTCTTGTTACAGACGCCCTTCCTCCCAGCTTCATGCATCCTTGCTTCAGTGTTCCCAGACTTTCACAGTTAAAATAGTTTCATTTGCCTTGACTTCAGCTGCCTCCCTCTTCATCTCCATAGAACCTCTTTAAACGCCACCTGCAGCGGGGCGTCTTGCTGGCTCAGTCGGTAGAGCGTGCGACTCTTGATCTCGGGGGTTCTAAGTTTGAGCCCCAGGCTGGGTGTAGAGATTACTTAAAATCTTAAAAAAAAAAAAAAAAAAAAGTCGTTCATATTGATGAAGCTGCTTCCTCTGGCTAATACACGTGCAGGTGTGTATACACGTGTGTGCACGTGTATCATCCTGCAATGAAACTTTAAAAAGCAGCTTCAAAGCTGGCTTTCATGTACGTCTCACTGGCCATTGCTGGATCATCTGACTGCCCCCAGCTGGAGGGGAGGCTGGAAAGCCTGTTGTGGAAGATGGGGGTGGAATTAGGAATAGGTGATTGGTCAGCCAAACAGTGGTCCCCGGAACACTCGATTCTTTGTAATAAACCAACAGGCTTTTCTCCATTTGGTCCTTAAAATTGTCACCAAGGAGTGGGTGGGCTCAGAGAGAAGAAGAGATGGGTCATGTGTCGATAATTACTGAGTCTGAGTGAGGAAGACAGCAGGTCCTTCACACTATTGTCTCTTCTATTTGGATTTGAGTTTTTAATAATGAATTGGTTTTTTTCAGTTGTGCTAGCGAGAGAGAACAGAGCTGTGTATAGGAAAGGACTAAGAGGGGCCCAGCTGTCCAGGGCAGAATGGGCAGCCTCCTAGAGCCCTGCTCCCACCCTGCAGGTCTAATGGTGGCCAGGAGCATAGTGGCGGGGACGGTCCCTGCGCCCTCACATCCTGTGCTTGTTTTAACAGCTTGGAGCCCAGTCTTTGCAGATTGCGTGTTGTCCCATCTCCTGGACCCCTCTGCCCCTGTGTTTGCTTACTGCTCTGGCTCAGTTCCCAGGGACAGGACCTGGGCCTTGGGTCTTCCTCTTGGTCGGCTGTCCTCCTGCCTGAGCCCTGTTCGTGCCCTTGGTGGGACCTGCCTGCCCAGCCAGCGTGGCCACCTGTCCCCACCCTTACCTACCTCGTTCTCAAAGGCCTGAGAGCTGTCTCAGTGAACATCTGGCTTTTCTGGTGGGCCCACTGAGGCCCAGCGGGGTAGTGGGGCTGACAGAGGTGTTACCATGTTCAATCGAGAATCCCCTTTTCCATCTGTCCTGTTTGAATCGTGGCAGACACCATCTAGCCCACAGTTTTTAAGAACAAGTGGATCGTATTTTATCTACCTCTTCACATCCACATTTAGTGAAAACTTCTGCCCAACTCCAGAGGAAATGATTTCCCTTTATCCGGGAGTGGGGAAGTGGAGAGACTGAGTCAGCGCTACCGCAGGCCTCGGGGCCACGGCCTGGCGGGAGTGGCACAGGGACGGCCCAGGGACACCTCCTGGCTGGGCCACGGCGGGCAGGAACCCCTGAAAGTTGTTACCTGGCCCTGCTCTGCCATCAGGCTTTGTCTTCTCCTTGCCCCAGATGGCTGTGTCGGATTTCCAGGGCATCTGATGCCTTCCCAATGCTGAAAAAACTGCCCCGGACCGTGTCAGGTCAAAGAATAAAACGAGCTTCCTTAGGCGATTCTGCTCACCTATTTCCTGAGGAACACGGTGCTCTCATTAAGAGCTCGGCATAAGGTCTCTAGGGAAGAAGGGACGGCGAGGTGAACTCAGTCTTGAGTGAGCTGTGCACCGTGGGAGCCGAAGCGGGGGGCCCGGGCTGGGAGCCCTGGCAGGCCAGTGGTGGTGAGGTCCCACAGCCAGCTGCTTCCTCGCGGGCCATCTGTCGGATCCTCCTCGTTTTTCACCAGAGGAAACTTGCCTGAGGTCAAACTGCGAAGCCACCAGGGATCACACCCACATCTTGTGACCGGAGGGTCGGATGGGGCCAGGGAAGGCAAAACGGAACTGCCTTTCACCCCCTTCTGGATTCTGACGCACAGACATGAGTCCGGGGGGACAGAAGCAGCCAAGATGGGGAGATGCTTGCAGGTGGAGAGCGGCAACTGGTGCTCCTGGTGCCAAAAGTTTGTGGCACAAGGACACAGAGTTGTGGGCATACCCCTTCGGCTTCCACTTCTGCCCCCACCCTGGGGCAGCAGCCCAACCACTCTCTGCACCCCGAGACACCCCCCAGGCTTTGTTCAGACAAGCCTCTGCTCAAGTGTCACTCAGGCATAAGCTCTGCTCCAGAACCAAGTTTCTGTGCTAAGCAAGGTTCACAGGGTTGCCCTCTTTTGGGATGCTGCCTGGTTTCAGGGAGTGTGGGGAGGAGGGACTGGGGGGCCCAGTTGACAGTTCCTTAGAGAGTGGAGGTATTGTAAATGCCTCTCCCACTGTACCTCCTTACCTGGGTGTGTTCACAATTCCTCCCTCGGACTTTTCTGTAAAGCCTTTTCTTTGTGCCCTCATAGGGCAACTTAGATCCCCACATACTATCAGATGCGATCTTTGTGCACAGGCACGTCGACCACCGCAAGGAAAATGGAATGTGCAAGTCCAGAAGATTCTGCCCTGCTTCCCTGCAGCCTGGTATGGTCCAAACCAGAGAGACCTTCTTTCAGGGTCTCCTCTCCATGGTCTGTCAGCCAGCGTTCATTGTGTTGTCTGTCACCTCAGAAAGCTGATGGGGTAAACTGTGACCTATGCTTAAGTAAGGTACAAGGGGGTGGGGTGGGGTGGGGGCAGGGGAGAAATTAACATTGCCTAAGGAGAGCACCATTCTGGACTGACACATGGGTCGTCCTGCCTCTAACCTTCAGTCCTAACACTGCTGTGATCCAGGCAGAGTCCCTCTGAGTCTCAGATACCTTGTTCAGAAGGTTGCTGAGAATGGTTAATAATCCTGCTCTGCCTACCTCACAGTGTTTTATTAAATGAAGCACACTATCCAAGTGTTAGGTTACTATAATTAAATTGTGCACCTGGCCCCCAGCTTCCCAAGACAACCAGGCTTATGTGAATATAAATTAGCACTTTGAGGAACAGTTTGGCAATGCCTAATCTGGAACTGCTCTCAGCCCATGACACAGCAACTTTTACTCCTGGGTTGACATCCTGGAGGAGCAGCACGAGGAGGCAGGCTTACTGTGATCACAAAAACCTGGAATCCACCCAGTGCCCATCAGGAGAAAGGATCGATTGTGAAATAGTCACACAGTGGAATACGGGAGAGCAGTGAGCCGAACGAGGAGGGCTGCGTGCATGAGCACAGAGGAGCCCCATGAGCAGCGTCGATGCAAGAAGCAAGCAGCAAAAGCCCAACATATGATCCCAGTTAGACAAGCTCAAAAACGTGAACATGGAGGTAATGGTGGCCCAACACTGAGAATGCACTAAATAGCACTGAATTTTACACTTTAAGATGGTTGGGTTTATGTTACGGGACTCTC